TGTTGGAAACAACTATCTGGAGAAAGAAAAATCTTAATTGCCCATCATGTACTCTATAATTTCAAGACTACTTTAGTAGGATAACAAAACAATTACTATTATGTTTATGTTCCTGAAAATAAAGATATTGCCAAAAATAAAAAATCTCAGAACAAATCAAGTAGGATTCCAGTAGGCTGGTCTGCAAGTGAGAAAATCCTTTAGGACATCTCTTGACAAACTGGGTTCATCTATACACTAAATAGGCTGGTGGGGACCTAACAAGGAGGTAAGTTGGTTTAAAAACTGATTTAAATCACTTCACTGAAGGACTCAATTTGCATGATTTAAATCACATTTTAATTCACTAGTGAGGAAGATTTTATTTAATCATCATTTTTATTAGAAGCAAAGTACTGTTTAATATAACCTTAATATATATTCAGAGACATAGATTTCATTAAAAAATAAGCACAAAGTATAATTCTTAATTATTTTCAAATTAATTTTCAATTTATCAAAACCAGAATCCCATGCATTTATATCCAGATGCCTACTTTTTCAGATATATTCCTCCTTCACCACAAATTATTTCTTCACTGACCTTTTGTAACTCTGCACTTAGAGAAGGACAAGGCAAACAAATACAAAGACAAAGAGGAAAACACACACACTATGTTTACAGGACTGATCTGCTTATCTCTCATTTATAAATTGTTATTGTTGTGTGGCTTCAAGTAGTTTCCAACTTATAGCGACCCTAAAGGTAAAGGTATTCCCAACTGACAAGGCTGTCAAGTTGTGTTCGACCTAAGGCGTCCTTATAATGGGGTTTTCTTGGCATGTTTCTTTAGAGGGGGTTTGCCATTGCCATACTTTGAGGCTGAGTGTGTGTGACTTGCCAAGGCCACCCAGGGGGTTTCCATGGCTGAGCGGGGATTCGAATCCTGCTCTCCAGGGTCATACTAGAATGCTCAAACCAATACACCACACTGGCTTTCATCTATACATTGCTGTTAACTGATTCACAGAATGTAAGTGGGAGTTGTATCATTGTTAATTGTTATTCTTTAACATCTGGCCTTTTATTTATTTATTTTTATTTTTTTAAGAACATTTAAAAATTTAAGAACATTTAAATTTCAAAATTCAATTTAAACCAAAAAAGCCTGTTTCAAATTTTAAAATCAGATTTTTAGAGTTTTTTATAAAAATCAGCAATTTGTATAACCCCTGCCAGGGATTCTGCTTCTACTGTGACATTCCACTATGACCTGTTATGCCCACCTGCTCTACATCACAACAGGTCCACAAAATAGGCATCTTTGGTGAGTGCTCTCAGTTCCGAAATGATTTTTTATTCAAAACTCAAAAGTGGGGTCGAGGACCTTCAAGAAATTATACAAATGGAAATGTAAAGCCCAGGATAAAAAGTGAGAAGGAAAATTTTCCCACTCCACTGACCACAAAGTGAGTTTTCCATCCTCAGTTCCTGTGGATATTACTTATCAGTAAGTGTAAAAGATTTTTATTCACACTAGCTTTGGGCACAAGAAAGCAAAAAGCATTTTCATTTCTTGCTTACTAAAGGTAGAGTAAGTTCCAAGAATGTGTAAGTTAAGAAAAAGCATACAAAGATTTCAGGAATGATGTACGCTAGGGTTCTTAGTATCCACTGGGGTTTTGTTCCAGGACCCCCTGTGGATACCAAAATCCGTAGATGCTGAAGTCCCATATCATGGCGTAGTGAAATGGTGTCCCTTATATAAAATAGCAAAATCAAGGTTTGCTTATTGGCATTTATTTATTTTTTGAAATATTTTCAAGCTGTGGATAGAGAATCTGTGGATATAGCAAGCCAGCTGTAAATGCATTTTAGAAAATAATGTTTTCTAATTTTTTTATTTGTTTGTTTGTTTTTTGCTTTTAAAGTGTATTTATTAAAAGGAAAAGGCAGCTGATCTTTTCAGGAATTAGCTATTTACTTACAACATCTGTAAGAAATACTTTAACCAGAAGGCATGCCATCCAGCAAAAGTGCCTACCTGAGGTTTGTCACAGCAGGCATACTGATTCCCTCCTGGGCTCTGACAACAGATGGAGGATCCTTCACACTGGCTTCCATCTGGGCACTGAAGAGAAAACACCGTCCCACTCAACAGCAGACACACTATCAATGGTCCCCACATCTTGGATGTAAACCTGTAATGAGAAGGATCCAAAAAAAGACAAGACACAGCAGTCAGTTACAAGTGAGGTTTACTCTGCTGAGCTGTTAAATGCCTGAGATTCAAGGTGGAGTGACACCAGAAGGCATCCATCAAGTGATGCAATGCAGCAACAGGAGCATTAGTGTATTGAGCTGGGTGATAAGTTGGGTAAACAGTCTTAAACAGCCTCATGTGGCAGTCTCAAAATCAATACAAGAGCATCACGTGGGGGGAAGGCTCAAAGATGGAAAATCCTCAGTGATAGCTGTCTTGGCCCAAAATGGGGGCCACAACTGAACAGGAGAAAGTGCCAAGGTTGCATGTGGCCTTCCCTGCTGTACCAGGCGTGGAATAACTTGAATTCTGAAATGTTTAATTTCATTTTATGTAACTTATTATACATTTAGATTGCCCAAAGTTCCCGAGGCAGTTTAAAAGTGCACACACACATGCACACACAGACATTGACAATAAATTAGAACCAGAAAAAAGTAAATATTTAGCAGGTACAGCACATTGTAGGCTAGCTGTTTTCAACATTTATGGAAGGCTTAAAAAGTGAAACTGCTTCCAGGGCTGGCATCACAAATGCTGCAGAACCCCTATCCAACCTCCTTCAGAGCTTGGAAAAGTTACTTATTTGATGTTCAACTCCCAGAGTCCCCCAGTCAATCAGGCAATGCTAACAGAGGAATTTTAGGAGTTGTCATCCAAAAAAAGCAACTTTTCTAAGCACTACCACCTTCCTTTCACTGTTTCTCATGCATTTGTAAAAAAGAAAAAAAGACTGATACTGTTTGTCTCTCTTTCAGTTCCTTGAAAGATACATTGTTTGAACTTGTCTTTAGAGTTTTACCTTTTTGAAACAATTGTAGCACTTGTTTGGCTGAAAGCTACCCAAGAAATAAATGATGAATTAATATAGTATCCATGCAAGGTTGAGCAGACCTACTGAAAATTCACAATTTGTTCTTGTAAGGGTTCAGTTTGGCTCAACCCATGCAGAAGCAATTGCTTTGTCATTATGTCAGTATGAAGTTCAACTTTGTTCCAAGTTCCTTATTTTAATCAGAGTTTGACACAGAGCTTAATGACCACTATCAGTAATGAATGTGAGTTTATATGTCATTAAAACTGCAAATAACCCCTGAACTATACTGTTTTACATATCTCAATGACTGGGAAAGTACTACAAGAATTATCTAGAAGCAAAGACACTCTTGAAAAGTGGTGACCATGGACAAAATTTATAAGGAAGGAAGGAAGAGCATGTACCTCAAATTTAGCTTTGATCACTATAGGTCATATACCCACATTTCCAGGAGAGTCTTGTAAGAGACACTCCACCATTACACCTGAATCAACATTTTGGTTTTGCATGAGACAGTAGCAAATGTGCTAGGTCTGCTATAATAATTCCCAATTTATCTAGAAATTAACAAGTGGTTATCCATGCCACCATAAATGTTGGGCCACCTCAAATGAAAGACCCTCACTATCATGCAACTATCTTCTATACAAGTGTCTTGTTCAGTTGTCTTCCATTTCTTAGCAAAAAATTGCTTTTTGCCACTAATGGTCAGTATCTGCAGCAATAAGTGAGAAAGTTTGGAGTGACCGTAAACCAGGGGTAGGCAACCTTTCCCCTTTAAGGGCCAAGGGACTTTAGCTCCCAGAATCCCAGGAGCTATTGGCCAACATGGCTGAGGTTTCTCGGAGCTGAAGTCCCTCGGCCCTTAAAGGGGAAAGGTTGCCTATCCCTGCCATAAACAATACAACCAACAATTAAAAATTTGTGGCTCTTCTCACATTGTTGGTTTCCAGCTCCCATGATTCATCACCACTGGCTATACTAGCAAGAGCTAATGGGAACTGCAGTCTGTCTATAACTGGAGGGTCACACGATCCACATCTCTTTCATACACTAACAGGATCAAGGGAATGTCACCCTCAAGAGGCTCACAAACTGAAATCACCTCACCAGTTTTTCCCCACTCAAGATACTGTCAGATACAGTACCCTCCATGCCAATGAAAGCTTATATATGAAAAATATTAATAAATAATGATGGGATGAAAAACCCTTGTTTAGAACATACAATGCAAGACAACACTGTATTGCAAAAGAAAAGAGTCTTGGTTCTATCATCGTATGATTTGAAGTAGCCTAAAGCTTGCTGTGGAGTTCACACTTGCAGTTTCTACATACACTGGCTTTTCAATCAGAGGAGTTTACTAAAATTCAGTTTTGGACCACAGCTCCCAGAACTCTCCAGGCAGTATGGCCAAGCACCATGACAACTGAGGATTCTGGAAAATGTAGTCCCAAATAATGCTTCCAATTTCTGCTGTTACCATACCAGCATGACAATGGCTTGCACACAAACCCAACATTGGGATGGATGCAATGCTGGGATACCTCACAGAAGACATTGTCTTGGAGGTGTGGGTATATATTTTGTGGTAGCCTAAAGCTTAGTTTGGGGTTTCTTATTTGAGTAATCTAAGATCAATACCTACTAAACAACACTCCAGAAAAATAGTCATTTTGACTGGAGAACATTCTTGTGAATCTTAAAGGGGACCATATCACCATCATGGAGAAACATGACATGAGATAGGGCAAAAGTTATTTTGGGACACAGGACAATAGTCATTGGGACTACTCATTCACCTCTGTTTCAGACTTTCATGGGAATAACTGGGAACTAGAAATCACCTTCAGTCTCATTTCTGTGGTGCTTTTCTTCTCTGTCCACAAGAAATGGCAATCTGAGTCACAAGGAAACCCTCCCTAGCACTGGAGCTTCTGGGGTGTATTGTGGCCTCTAGGCACTTTCCAGCAAAGAAGGGGCTCTACACCCAGTTCTTGGTGCAAAAAACTGGAAAAAGCTGAGTCTCCTTTCCCCAGCAAGGGAGGAAAAAATACAAGGCTCTTCAATAGCACAGCTGTTGCAATAGAAGAGGAACTAGAAACCTAAACAGAAACCAAAGCAGAACAGAGGAGAATACCCTGTGTCTTTTGCATCCACTTTCCCCATCATCATCACTCTTAGCTGGCTTCAAATGAAACGAAACTTTTTGAGCGGAAAAGAAAGTCAAAGCAAACACAGCACAGAACTCTTCATCTGAGTGGGAATGGGTTTATAGGTGATCATGCAAATCACTCCACTGCTGTAAGATAGGATGCCCTGTCTGGAACCCTGTTGGTGACATATACTCCCATAAGCATATGTTCTTTTATGGACGTTGCAGAAGGAAATATTCAATACCTCCTTGCTAAACATTCCTCTCCATTCAGTAAGGCAGCTTTCAAATCTCTCTGAAGTCAGCTTTAAAGCACACACTACCAATAGCTAGGGTGTAAGGAGTTGCATAGGCAACTTGCCTGTCATAAAATGTTGGGAATTAGGTGTGATAGGTTATACAGTAGAAATGGCACTGATAAGTCATGGTGATCTCAGACACTGGTGCTGAGATAATACTGGAAGGGATGCAAACATAAGCCAAGCCAGTTCAAGGTTGTTTCTGTGACAAGGTTTGTTTCTGTAACAACAAAGAAGGGGTTGGTACGGGAAAGAGAAGAGAAATGTGTTTATTAATTATAACAAATAAAAATTAAGCCAGCCTGAACTCTTGAGTTTGTGTGTAGTTTAATCAGGCAATTTTAACATTTGCTGGCCAATTCGGACAATGCACATCGTTGGACTGGGTCTATAACAGGGGTAGGCAACCTCTCCCCTTTAAGGGCCGAGGGACTTCAGCTCCCAGAAGCCTCAGCCATGTTG